GTGTAATGTATTGCTGTATTACGCTAAAATTGAAAGCCCGTTTAGACAGACATGATAAACCGATAGATCAAAGTATCCCTTTTCCCTTGGCGGCACTCATATTTAATATTTATTTTTTTTTTCGATTTTAAAAATAATTTTTATCTAAAATAAGAAAAGTATGCAAATTAAAAGTTTAAATAACCCTATCGATTTCTAATAAGACTTAAAAGAGAACAAATTTTTTTAATATGAAAGGTCCTTCAAATTCTTCGCAGGTTATACAGTACATATTTTTTAAAAAAATCTTATAAATCAGAATTTAGAAATGGGAGAGAACGATATTTCCGGAATCACTTCATTTTTAGTTATTAATTCAAACTGTCAAAATTCTAGGCCAACATTACGAATCGTGTTAGATATACTCAAAGATCAGTATAATGTAATAAAAATAAAATCTTACGAATACTTTTCTTTATGATTTTAGTCACGACTGTTCAATCAAAAACATGAGCTCATGAGTAAATAATATTGAAGAAAGAAGAATTCAGCTCTTTTGAGTTATCTTCATTCAAAAAAGGTAAAATTAAGTAAAAAAATATCGAATATGTTGAACAATTAGCACGGTTAAAGCTTAAAGTAATTATAATACAATACACTAGAGGAATATTCGTTATTTTATTTTTAAAATTAATAAAAGATTTATTGTTTTTATATAAATATTAATATCAAAAGGCAACTTTTGAATCTAATCGACGGTGGTTGAAATTAGTGGCTTAATCTGTCACAGATTACAGACGTGCAAAAACTTTTTTTATCTTTTTGCTATGTATATGACATTTAAATAGCCGATTCTAAGCTCATTTTGCCTCTTTTACTGATTTCATTTATTATTCAAGTGCCTCTTTTTATCTTTGGCTTGCATATGTTATTTAGGTAGCAGATTCCAAGTTCATTTTGTTTACTCGAATTACAGATTTAAATATCATTCGAATGCCTTTATGTGATGTGAAGCAGTGATATCTAACCTTTCAATTGTCTGCAGCTATAGTTAATAGAATCAAGAAGTGACAAAGCCTTAAATTTAGCACCATAAGTGACGAATTCGGTGATGACTTTAACAACTACGAGCGATATCTAAAACGTCAATAGAAAATACTGGTTTAATAAAAAAATAAAAAAATAATCAAAATTGTATTAAATGCATAGATTATACAAGGGTAGCGATATGAAAAAATATAAATTTTATTATAAAATATATTTATAGACCAATACGTTGACAATTGACATAAAATACCACAAACTATTTTTGGCCCACGAATAAAGGGAGTTATAGAAATTAGCAATTAAAAACATTAAGTTCAAATAGTACATATAAAACATATGCTTCAACCTCTTTTCTAAAATTATTATTCCAACTCAAATATCTATGTACACGCGTAATTTAAAGTTTTGTTTCATATGCAAAATTCAATTAACAAATTAATATTTTCTTGTTGTCAAGATAAGCAGCTTTTTTAAAGTTGCGTTATAATGATTGATTCATATGGTATTAGCCAAGATTCCCCGGATTTTCTAATTTAAGATATTTCAATGTTGACGGCAATATTTAAGTTTTTCTTCTGGTATGTCCTTGCAATATAATAAGAGAACTTGAAGCTTTTATAAATTATCAATAAGCACTAGTAAGTTGTGTAGAAAACCTAATCTTCTTTATTTAGAGGTACTTAATGTTCGGACAATTTCTCTTAGAGGCACCAAGTCTTCCAGAATTGAGCTTTAGCCTTTGTATGGATATGCCATATCTTGAGCACCCGATCTGGGGGGATGAACTATTTCTAAAGTGCAAGTTTTGGAATATAGTATTTTCGACAGTTTCATATTGCTCCACTTAATATGAATCGTCTCTAAATTTTTACAATTTTTAAGTGCCTCGAACTCTGCGTTATAATTACAACCTTTTATTATAACTTCTCGTAATGAAGTTTTTTTGACTTTCTAAAGTCGAATGATGCCGTGGAATTCTGTAGATATTTCCAATTAAGCTAAATAACCTAAGTTGTTTTTGTAATTGAATAATTCAAATAAGTTCATCATAATATTGTGAGTCATAATATGAACGAAATTTAATGTCAGTTGATTAATTGTTATCGTATTTCAGAATCTTTAAAATTTCAAATTGACTTTGTAATATCTAATTGCAGCCGAGAAAAAAATTGATTATTTCGTTCTAATGAGTGTAGAGTGGTGCCAGTTCAAGGAATGATAAAAAAAATTACGAAATACGTCGATGAGTCATTAGCCCGCTTTATCTTCTAAACAGGAAGATCGAGAGCCTTTGAAATTTTGCATAATCAAATAGTGTTTGGGAAAATTAATTATTTATCCCATGTTCATTTAATACACCTTCATCGATAAATGAAAAATATTTAGAAATGAATAAAGGTCGTCTTTTACGGAATGGATCTCGCCAAAGAATAGATATTGACATTTTGCACCAATGCCGGTTCACAAGTACGCATGAATATAAGGAATAAGATTCATTATCCGGCAAACTCATATGATCATGGCGCAGCATTGTACTGTTATTTTTTTGCTTATTTTGATTTAATGCCGAATAACAATATAAATTCGGGCATAAATTTTTTTAAGTTTCCAAATATTGGGCCGGGAAACATAAATTCTGGTCAGAATTTATCTAAAATTCCAAATATTGGGTCAAGAAGCTTAAATTCGGGCTAGAATTATTTAAAATTCTAAAATTTTTGGCCAGAAAGCTCATATTAGGGCCAGAATTACTTTAAATCGGGACTAAATAAAGCTCTTAAATGAATCAATTAAAATTTTACATTTTACATTTTATGCACATAATATCACGTATGCTTTTCAAATCTCATAATTAAAAGTTAAAGATGCAATTATGAAAAGTATTACCGGTAAGGAATTTTTCAATAAATTCTTTATTTTGTGCTTCTTTACAGTCCTTTTTAACACGATCTTTTTTTGCTTTCTTTTCGGGAATGTTTTGATTGAGCTCATTCAACACATTAGGCGGGGATACTTCAAGATCACCAAGGAAATTTACTAGCGATATTTGCAAATCAGATCGCTGAATGTAGGAACTTGCACGGGAAAAATCACCGAAAATTGGTGCAACTTTTCGACAGTCCGCAGCTCCATTGTTACTTGGGGCTTCACTGTCATTTGGTGCTTCGTTGTCACTTGGGGTTTCATAATTATCGGTGGCATCATTCTCATCAAAGTCGTTGGTGGCATCGTTGTCGTTGGCGGCATCATCATCGTTGGTGGCATCATCGTCATTGGTGGCATCATCGTCGTTTGTGGCATCATCATCGTTAGCAGCGTCATTGTCATCAGCAGCTTCAAAAAAATGTATTAGTTAATATCCAAAATTAAATAAACAAGCTATAATATATGAATTTTACCTTTTGTTGTATTTTTTGAGATTTGTGCCAAGGCACTAAAAAATCCTCCAAGACCTTCTTGTTGCATGACAGATCTTGGTCTTTCATATGCAGCGAGACCCTTTTGTGACTTGTGTCTCGTAATTGACATAATCACAGCGTCCGAATATCCAAGTTCTTTCAACAACTGCACTGCAGTTTTTCGCCCAGAGTGATTCGATATATTATAGGTTCCAATCTGGATATTTGTTGCTTCACAAATGACCCGAAAATATCCTCTTAACGTTCGCTCGCCCATTGCACGTTTGTAAAACCAATGTCCACTGAACTCAGCTTAGATGAAAAAAATATATTTCATAAATATTTATATCCGTGAAATCACATGCTAAAAAAATGAAATAACTTACTAGAATCTATTGACATAGGTTTCAAGTAAAAATTCGTCATCAAGCTCTTGCTAGTTAGTTTTTGATCTAAACAATTTGACGTCAATACCACCATCAAACCTTTTAATAAAATTGTTGATTTGGAGGCTATAATGCTCGCCCCCCGCAATGCTAACAAGGTTGAATTATAAAAAAAAATCTGTCGTAACAGTCCTTCTGGACTATTACATTGCATCGTAGTGTGGTTGAGAATATGTTCAACCTCATTCATCGTCAAGGCATCTGCCCCGGTACATTCACCCAATCCAATAGCTGAAAGACTCTTCAACTTTCCATTAATCGCTTGGTTCAAATCGAAGTAAACCTTCGGATTTAATATTTCAACAGGTTTTTCCATTACGGAATACTGATTAAGATGTCACCATATGGCTGCCAAACAACACCTTATTGAAGATGTGTGGTATTCTTGACCGTCCTGTCGTTTAATTGCACATACAAATTTTGATAATTGGTCTTCCAAAACCATTTTTGAATCCACTTCCTCGATTTTGCCTTCATAACTAACGTCAGTACGAAATTTTTCTAACACCTTAATCCACTGGTCCGTTGCTTTGTGAGTGGCTTTGACCTTCGAGTTTTCACGGAGTGTCTTTAATTCATCCACAGAAGGTTCTGTGTATTTAACCCGCTTTGCTTTATTAGACTTTGTTGGTGCAGGCACAGACTTTGTTTTTGGCATTATAAGATGATGATCGTGATGAGAGAAAAGTTTGTTTTTTTTTTTTTGGTATTTTATTTATTTTTTTTTTTTATTTGACAGTTCAAGTGTGAACAGGTAAGAATTATAGCCTTAAGGCCTTGGACAATTAGCACCAGCAACGTAACCGGCACCCTCAAATTCTCATTCCAACAACCTAGACCTTAGTAATGGTGGCCACAAGCTTTAGTAAGGGCGACCTTAAACTTTTAGTAACTAGCACCTTGAATTTCAACAACAATAAAAGGTATTTAAAAAATATAACGCATTTAAAAAAATTTTTTTTTTTCCGCTTTTAAAAAAGAGATTTGATTTTACATCTTTTTTGTTAGATCTAAATTTGTATTTATAGGGGGGAGGATCGGGGCCATGATCATAAATTGCCGGATAACACCATTATTGGGCAAATTGCCGTTATTCAACAATTTTTGCCCAATAATGTATACTTATTTAGCCAAAGATTATCATGAATATTCTCCATTAATTCGGGCATATCACCATAAGTATTTTCGGTGCTGGTGGGAAAAAGTAATGATTTTGAGAAAAAAGTAATGATGAGAAAAAGTAATGATGATGAGAAAAGCAATGATGATGAGAAAAGTAATGATGATGAGAAAAGTAATGATGATGAGAAAAATAATAATGATGAGAAAAAATAATAATGATGAGAAAAGTAATAATGATGAGAAAAAGTAATGATTGAGAAAATTATCAGTTTACACCCACTAAACTCATAGTTTCATTCGCATGCAAATTTGATTAACTTTAGTGTCATTACCAACGAAGACCTTATTTCTTCTTTTGGATTTGTTACCAGTCTTTTCAACTGATCGTTACAATGTTTGTGAAAAATATCAATGTATGTTTTTTTTTAACCAATCGTCACCGAATTTTAGAAATCGTATTTTTATTTCATCCTCCGGTATGTTGTCTATATTGCTCCATAATAAAAGAGTTTTAAGCTTTTGTAAATTACCAATAAGATTTAGGAGTTATCGGAAAATTCAACCATTTTTACAAAAAGGTACGTAAGGTTTGGGCAAAATGTCTCAATTTCTCTTAGGTCATCTAAGAACTCCTCGAACTCTGCGTTATTAGCACAATCCTCTATTATAATCTCTTGTAATGAATCCTTTTGACTTCCTAAAGCCGAAATTATGCCTGGAATTCGGTAGAACTATTTTCAAAAAGCCTAAATTGACGAATAAGTTCACCATAAAATTGTGGTTCATAATTTGAACGAAGTTTAAAGGTCAGCTTATTGATTGTTCTTGTATTTCGGGAGAGAGTCTTTAAAAGCTCCAAGTTGACTTTGAATCCTGCGTAATATCCAAAATTAAACATTGCAGTCTTGAAAAAAATCGATTATTTCGTTCTATTACGTGAAAGATCTCTCGTATAAATTCAATATGTGTAGGTAATTTGAATTTATGTAATGTGGCGCCACTTTTAATGAATAATTTGAATAATTTGAATAATAAGAAAATTATGAAATACGTCGATGTGTCTTTAACTCCCACTTTTTAACATTAATTTCTAAACGAAAGCCTTTAAAAATCTTGCATAATCAAATAGTGCTTGGAAAAATTCCTTATTTATCCTATGTTCATTTAATACATCATCGATGGATGAAAAATATCTAAAATGAATTTTTTACGGAATGAATCTCGCCAAAGAATAGATATTGACATTTTGCACAAATGCCGGTTCACAAGTGCGCATGAATATAAGAAATAAGATTCATTATTAGCCAAAGATTATCATGAATATTCTCCATTAGTTATCGCCCATAAGTATTTTTGATGCTATGAGTGTTGATGGAAAAAAGTAAAATGATGAGGAAAAGTAAAGATGTTGAGAAAAAAGTAAAGGTGTTGAAAAAAGTAAAGATATTGAGGATATTGAGAAAAAAGTAATGATGTTGAGAAAAATGATGAGAAAAAAGTAATGATGAGAAAAAGTAAGATTACGCACGTACGTTATTATGTCATAGCCTATATAAATATAAAATGGAAAAAGGGATCGTCTAAAGCCTGTAAAGCTAGTAGTAATTTATACGCGTCACGTGATTTTTAATTTACAAATTTGGTATTAATGTCGTATCTGTTACTATCAGATACGTACGTATCTGATATACTAATACGTACGAACGTACGTACTATAATGAAAAGTATAATTGGTATTTTTTTGGTAAGCTTTTTAAAAGACAAAATTTCAAATTGTAAACTAATAAAGTATCAATAATAAAGGTTAGTGTTAAAAAATTTCTTAAAGACACAAGTAAAATCCTTTTGTAAACTATAAATTATCTACATAGTGTCTCTGATTTGTTATTAGCACACTCAGTTCTATTCGTTAATGTTAATTATCTTTTATGTTCCCATCAGCTTATAACTACACCCTAATCCTTTGCTAATTCTAA